CTGTGTAACTAATTGGTATCTAATACATAATTGTAAACATACATTTAACGTGTTTTAAATAAAATCGCATCATTTAAATTGTCATTTACTTAGAACATAACCTATAACACCCTAATTTATAGTTATAGAGCCCTTATATCAGCTGATCGAAATAATTTAAAATAAAATAGATATTGTCAAGTCCCAGATATATAAATATAATAATTACAATTTATTTTTGATAGAATATAAAAAGTGTTGTAAAACGGCATTTACATTACAACTTTTAACCGGGTTAACTTACTCTATGAGGATTTATTTGGCATGTATACAATGGAATTGACAATTGAAACCCACTGGGTTAACCAAATCTGGTACAATGTAAACGTACTATAATAGCATTACAAACTTTAACACATCGTTTACATTATCATGACAAATAGATTTAGTATAATCTAACCAATTAAAAGATAGCAGTAAAACAAAATTTTCTGTGGATCTAAAAACTAACTTTCCACAAATGTTTAATTTTTCTATATTTTCTAGAAAACATATTTATAAACATATAAAACATATAACACATATAAAAGATTTTCAGAAATTCCAAACATTATTTAATTCTCCTAACAAATAAATCCCACACCCAAGCAATTCACCAAATTTATCACACCAATCCTCACAAATGGGTACGATATGTCTTCTATGGCGTTTCAATTTCGGGTAAAAGGTCAAGTTTAAAATACCAATTATATGTGCCTGAGTCTATGTAATAAAAAATTTACATATTCAGCAATTAATGACAAAATCGTAAATGCTTTTGGGGTGGATGATAGCATATTGCCCACTTATGATATGTGCACTTCAAACACTTTTTTCATGAACAAAGAGCGTGAATGAGTGAAAAAAATGTGTTGAAGTGTCAATTATGCAAAGTGATTGTACTTCCAAAGTGATTTTTTTCTCAGCGGAAGAAAAAAAAACATGGATTTCATTTGATGAGATGTTTGGTCATTGTGATGTGGGATGTTATAAAAAGGGGAGAAATTGCGTGGTATTAATTCGATATGGGATATTAATTGATTGGGGAGAGATAATTTTTATGAAGCTAGGAAATTAATATACTTGGGTTGACTTTCTTTAACTGAAAATATTAGGGAAATGCGTCAATTAATTGACAATTGAATACACTTCTAATATTCAAGAGTTTATTGGATGAATTTAAAAAATTCAATATCAGACACTTAGAGCGCGTTTACATAATTCATCCAAATAGTTCAATATTTATATTATAAGCCAGAATAAAAGTGCATTTATATTTACGAAATCCACCCGATCACAAATGTCAATTCCATAGCGTATGCGTCAAATATAATTCACTGGATTTGTGAACATGATTAAGGTGGCGTATACGCGGGATTGGCATTTGAAATCGAGTGGATTTCGTAAATATAAATGCACTTTTATTCTGGCTTATAATATAAATATTGAACTATTTGGATGAATTATGTAAACTTAATTTATAATCCACCAATCCAAAACACATTTGCTTCGTTCTCTTTACAAATTTAAACAGTAAATTTAAACTGGGTACGGGAACAGACCAATTATTTCCAAACAGCGTTTAAAGTTTGTCAACAAATAACGTGTTGTATAAACGGAGTATACAGTACGAAGTTTTATATCAATTTATTGTGATTTATTAAAAAAATAGATAACTATTGTTTTCCGACTAACTAAATGTTCTAGTAAAATAAATAGACTATCCTAAATAAATACATTAAATTACTAATTTAAATACTGCAAACAATTATGACTTTGCGTAAGAGTTTGATCAGCTGATATGCCAATCAGATGTTTTTACAACCAACTGACAAATGCCATGTTTACAATAATCATGTTTTAATAAAAACACACAATTTCTGTTATAATTCCCACAAAATAACCTAAAAATTAAATAATCTTTTATTGGAATGTGCAAACAGTCTTGCACACAAAATTATGTTTTATTATTCGATATTACCAATAAATGACAGCAATTTAATAATGCAATTGTGAAAGTTTGATAGGTGAACAGCTGACTTTTTAATTAGATGTTTCATGAACATTTAACTGAACAATACTATGTTCACATTAAAGCGTTTTAATAAAATTAGTTAAATTGTATATTTTATTGGAATGTTTCCTATTTGAAGTTACAATTCTTTATATCAGCTGTTTTTTACTGTTTGAAATCTAACTACAAAAAATGGTTGCAATATTTTGTCCATATAGAAAATTTCGAATTAATATAAAATATGGCCAAGTATCATTATGAAAATAGGAACTTAAAATCGATCTCTAGTTATCTATATAATGAAATTTAAGGGCATATTTACACCGATCAAATTTAATGAAAATTATTAATTTGTAATATAAAGTAAATGGCAATCTAAACGGCAAGTAAAATAAGATTTATCATATGACACGTTCGGTGTGAATGCCCTCTTAATATTAAGGATGTTCACCTCTTAAAGACTTTTGGATCTGTCACTTGAGATCGATTGAATTTCGTGGATTTAAAGTAATTTTGAGTGGTTCGAAATTTATATGAAAAGGAACAAGATCTATTAATAAGGTCAACCAGCAAGCGAAAGTCATATGTTTTTTCTGAAGTCGAATGTCAATTCACAATAATGAATTTTGACAACAAACTTGAGAAGCAGTTGATATGCAACTGGTCTTCCCAGATGACCTTTCTTAATAGGCCTTGAAAAGGAATGAAAAATTAAAAAAAAATGTTATTTCTTTAAACAGCTGATACCGTTTTTTTCGACATAAAATTAAATGTCAGAGTTGGATTACTGATGACAGAACGTGTAAAAAATGACTCGGAAGAAATATTGAAATAAATTACTGAAACGTATGAAATTGGAATGTTTTTTAAGATTTTAGGGTTTTTTGGAAGAATAACTAATGGAATTAAATCAGATTTAATAAGGAATATTAAACAAAACAGCTGTTGGTGCATTGAGCTGTCAAAAAGTTGTTGACAGTTTCTGCACCAACAGCTGTTGGTGCAATGAACTGCCAAAAAGTTGTTTAGATTTGAAAAGGACAAATAAAAACATTATTATACGCGAAGACCAAAACATCTTCTGAATTTCAATACATTTATATATATATATTTTGAATTCTTGTAAATAAATAATAAAATATTTAATAAGGTATATGCATCAGCACAGCTGTCAAAAACATGTGATTTATAACAAAAAAATTAAAAAACATAATTATGACTGAAAATCTCAAAATGTTTTATTGATTAATGAGTCAAAACATTCCTCAAGATATTCTTACTTGAAATATGTTAAATATAAAATTCTTTTGAAAATATTTTTGACATATAAACTCTCTATAGCTGTTTTTGTTGTTGTAATTGATTGCGGATTCATCTACCTTATTAAAATTACCTTGAGGGAGTATAACTTTATAAAATTCCTAGGATAATATGATGATGCGTCTACTTTATTAAACCTAGCTTATGAATGTCTACCATATCTCGGTAACCTCAAATTTCTGCAGAATCCTCTGACGACGATTATCATCATGAGGCAATATGATTTTCAATGGTTTCATAAGGACCGCATCGATAAATGATTTATGATATTTGACTTGTGGTACTGCCGGGGATATTAAACTATCTAAATCTGAATCGGAATCCTCCTCATCTGCACCACCTTGATGGGCTATTAAACTACCCGTTTTTAAACTACAATCTGATAGAATGGATGGTGAATCATCGAAATTCTCTAAAGATTTATTACGCAAATATGAAGAATCTACTGAAATGGTGGACAAAGAAAATTCATCAATAAGACGTTCAAAAGATTTGGCAATTTTCCGTGGATTGGAGGAGTTATTTTCCGGAGTTGAAGTTGAATTTGTTGGATAGTTGTTGGATTTCTGACTATCATCTAAAACATTTTGCAAAATGTTTTTAATATTCTTTGAACGCGGCAATGATTTAAAATGGTGGGGACTGGGTGTTCTAAGGGAGGTGGAGGAGGAGCTGGCAGAATTTAGCAATGCAGAGGGTATTGCTGTTGCCGTCATCTGCTGTTGTTGGTTTTCTTTGTTCATTTCCAATTTCATGTTATCGTTTGCCAATCTATAGCTGTTATTACGTTTTAGCGGCATATGTTTGCCGGGGGTTTGGGGCCCATCAATGGGGGTTGATGCGGAAGATGGATCTAACTGCGTACTTGCATTCGTAATTTGTTGGGAGTTTGCAGTACTAGTACTAGTCGTCATCGTCGTCGTGGTCTCTGTCGTTGTTGTCGTTTTCGTCGTGTCTTGAATTTTCGTTTTTGGGTCATCGTTATGTGAAATCGATTTTTCTTTGTTGTCGTCGTAGTCGTCGTCATTATTGTTGTTGTTGTTAAAAAGGTATGGCGTCGTGGCAATAGATTTGCCAAGTTCCTCCTCCTTTGTTTGTCTAGAAGTAGGAAATGCATTTTCTGTACCATTCATTTGGGTTCGGTTTGTATTTGAACGCACGGGCAAAGCTGGTGGTGGAGGCTGGGATGCTAACATTGGGGTTGATTTTATTATTGGGGAGTTGGTGTTGTTGTTGTTGTTTTCCCCAACAGATTGGGGGTTTTGCTGCAGTGAATCACAGTCTAAACCACCACCGGCTTCTCCACCACCTTCCTTGCCACGGCAACTTTCAATTTCTTTGTGTTTTGACTTTTGCTTGGCTTTAAATGTGCCCATAAGGGGAGCAGGGATAAGATAGGATTCTTGTTGGCTAAACAGACTAGTTGGAACCTCAGACGAAGGTTCCACATCATCTTCATCATCATTGGATATCATGTGTTTCCGTTTAATTATTGTTTGTGTGTTATTTACATGGTTTGGTTTGCTAATACTTATTTGTTGTTGTAGGTGTTCTTGTGATGGAGGATGGGGAATAGAAAGTTGTGGTCGTGATGTTGTTGTCGTGGGGGGAAATTGTGTTGTTGTACTAAAAGAAGAACAAAGCTTACCTTCGTCATCTTTGGCGGATGATACCGGGCCAACACCACCACCAACATTTCCACTATTCGTGGTTGTGGTGGTGGACACCGATGCTGCTGATATGGATGAGGAGCCTGTCGATGATGATATGGTCGAGCCAGTACTTGAGGCTGTTGATTTTGTCGATGGTGAATGCATCATCATCATCATGGATGCGGACTGTGGCTGATGGAAATAGGGATTCGTTTGATTGGCAGTCAAATGCTTGTTGTTGTTGTTGTTGGTAGTTGTGGCATCACTGTAAATGGCCGCATATGCCGCCGAAGAGGATGCATACATGTCCGTGGCGCCCGAATTATTTACTATGGCAGTGGCGTTATTTTGTTGTTCGTATGGCGTTAGTGGCAGTGGACGCATTGAGGGCGAACCCAATTTCTGATGCTGATTTTGATGATGAACTATGGGCCGAACATTGGCGATTTTTCGCGGATTTGCATTGCTCTTGTTGAGCAACAGCAATTTGGCCACCGGATTAAGAACACTTTCACTTTTCACCGCCGCCGATGTGGACGAATGCAAACTGGCCGCACTCGTATTATTGCGTAGTGTCGTATCGGCACTGACACTTTCGTTTTCTTCTTCACCGACGCGTTTAATATCACTATACTCGTTGGAATCGTAGCCGTCGTAACCGTCCGCTTGCCGTTTCACGTATGGACCCGGTGCGAATGTTGTGTGCGCGCCTTTGCGTCGTTTCAAACTATCGGAATCGTAAATTGGTTTGCCCTGTGCATTCAAACGGACTCTGGCTCCCTTATGGGGTGAGACATGCGGCGACGAGGAAGCAGATGATGGTGGTGTGTTTTGCAAATAGCTGAGAGTAGTAGCATTTGCAGATGTCGATGACGATGCCGAAGTGGTGGCAGCGGCAGTGCCAGCAGATGCTGCAATTTCTGAACGTAATTCATTTATTTCGGCATACATGGCCATTGCGCCGCCAGGCGAAGACATTGAATTGTGTGCTTTGTCCGAGTCTGCGCTCACCGCACTTCTTTGTTTGTTTTCACTCTCTGCCGTAAAACTACCCTCTTGGGCCTTTGTTCTCATCGTGTTGCTGCTGGCAGCAAGGACAGCAGGGGATTCCTTAGCATAGGCCTTCTGTATTGTTTTCGGCAATTCATTCAAGGAAACGTATTCGGTGGCTGGCGGTGGCATTTTCAAAACATTGCTCGAATAATAAATACCCAATGAACTGGAGACGGGAGCTTTGGGCATAACACACTGCAAGCCGGAAGCTTTTTTACTATTGTTGTTGTTGTTGCTAACATCAGCTGAAATGTAAACATATTCACCGGACATATCGTAAAGCTCATCATCATTGATAACCGAAAGTTCGGGTGTGGGAAAAGCTTTCTTGGGCGACTTCTTAACAGAGGGTGGCAGTATAACTTTCAATTTCTCAAATAAAGAGAGATTTTCGCCGGCGGCTTTAACATGATTCAAATTGTTATCCACCTCCTGTGACTTTTCTTTCTCCTCATCCAGTAAATCCTTAAAGCTTTCTTCGGTCAGAGTTTTATTCAAGACATCATCCTCATCGTGGTCGTCGTCATCACCATTCTCCACATCTTGGTGGCGCTCTCCGTTATAATCATCCAAATGATGATTTTCATCATCACTGGTAGATGGCGTAATGATGCACATGGATGGTATACGCCTTGCCGTCATGGCCGTTTTTTGTTTTATACGTTCAATACGCTCCACACCCTCTAAATCGGAACATTCAGAGACCTCAACCTCACTGCTGTGTTGTGTTGGCAATGGTAGGGCACCCCGCTTCTTGATTTGTTCATTGAAATTAAATTCATCATCTTGGGATTCTGGAGTTTCTTCGGTATTCGACTCCAAGGAGGGAACTTCATTGCAGGATAACTTGAGGGAAGCATTAACATTACGTTTTATGGTACCCGTACGCTCCAAGGTACTGCCGATGGTACTGCTGGAAATACTTCTTTCCAAGGTGCTGGTTGAGGCACTACTCAAACGTAGGGAGCTAACACGTTCGGGAACCTCAGGACCACAACTGGCCAGGCTGTTATTTAGGCTGGACTGTTCAGCACCAGAATTGTGGGCCATTAGAGTGGTACACACGGTACCAGCTGAACTGGTGGTGGTCGATGTTGAACCCCTTCCGAACAGCTCATATTCATTTTCTGCCATTAATGTCTGGGGTGAACTGCTGAAACTCGACTGCTGCTGTTGTTGCTGCTGCTGACCAAAAATGGAAGCATTCAAGGGATGACCACCAATTTGGAAATTACTCATATTTATCTCTTCTTCTTTCAGTGTTCTCAGGCCACTGTCCATGTGGAAGGAGGTGTAATAACCCTCGGTGTCACATGAATAGGCCGAGCTGGTTTCATCATCCAAATGATTCGGGTATGCGCCCTCATTGGCCATTTGCAAATCTGGTGTGGCCGTACCCTCACTTGTCACACTACTCGATGCCGAGGTGTTGAAGAACCGCCTACGACTCAGCATTGAGGAGGGTGGGTTGCTGCTACCATTCTGGAAACTCGAAACATTCAACGAAGTATTGGAAGCACTGGATTTGGGTTGCAGTGTTATTTCACTGCCAATGGAGGCCCGACCCGATTCGGAACTGGCACTCCAATTGCCGCTGCTCGAATGGGGCTGGTCATCCTTGTTGTTGCCACCACCACCCAAACCGTTAATACGTCTCTGGCGATTCAATGAGGAAGTATCTCTCAGCTTCACATTCGCACATGCCGAATTTAAGTGAAGTTTACCTCTCAAATGACCCGAACTACTGACACTCATCGATTTCTCTGACGACGAATATGAAGGTTTTCGTTCATGCGAAAACCGACTTTCGTGTGCACGCTGTGTAACATACTCATGGACCCGGCAGTCCTCGTCCACATCGGTGACGGACGATTTCTCGCCCATTTTGGTGGTCGACGACAATGTCTTGTGCGATGATGATACGCTAGCACTACCCGAGGCCGAACATATTTCGGCCTTCTCGCTTGAGGTGTTGTGGCTGGCCGATGTGGAGCCACCGGATGTGTTTAGATCGTTGCTGCCACTGCAACCACTGCTGTTGATCGTGGACAAGGTGGACGTGTTGTGTTGATCGCCCGATGATGCCGAACGTTGCATAAACTTGAAACGATTACGACCCCATTGTTTGAGCGAATTCAAACGGGTCAGGGTGCTCTTTCCCTTATCGTAGGGTAAGGCAACAGATTCTTTTTTTAACAAGTCGCTGGACTTGCTGCGACCGAATTTCGATTTGGATGCCTTTAAATCGGCGGTGGCACGACTGTGCTGTTGCTGATCCGCCGCATCCCCATTTCCATCTGCATCAGTCGTCGAAGCTAAAGCATTTTTAAGCTCGCCGCTAGTAGCCGTCGTATCGCTAAAGTTAGTTGAATGATTTTTTTGTTGGGGGTATGATGATAATATTATGATACGATTTTTTATGATTCGATTATTTTGTTATCGATTTTTGCATGTTTGTTTTTACAAAATGTGGTTTGGTTTTTGGCATTTTTGGTTTGGTTTTAGAATTTCGCATATTAACAACATAAAAAGTAAGGAAGGCGGGATGGATGGTTGGATAACATAAAAAGAGAATAAACGAGAAGAAAAAAACAAAAAAAACATGTATTTAAAAAAGGTTAGTTTATGTAGTTGTTGTTGCTGTTTTTTTTAATGTAAGGCTGGTTAAAATTAAAATGAATATGTTTTTAATTAAATAAATAGATATTTATATATATATAAAATAAATACGAAATATATACAAAAGAAATATGTATATAAATAAATAAAAATTATGATGATATTTTTGAGAAAAGAAATAATAAAATAACAAGCAATAAGGTGTTTTAGCAAAGAGAGTGAGAGAGAGCAAGAGCAATAGAAATGAGTAAAGAGATAAGTTGTGGAGATAGTTATGGGAGAGATGTTGAATGAATAATTTTCCTAGCGGAATAAGAAAAGCTCTTAAGGCGCGTTTAGACTATGCCTCGATAAATCGATATATGAAATCTCAGCTGTTTAGACTTTTATTTAATTAAAAGATATAAAGTCAGTCAGCTGATATCTGCTTATGTCTGCATACATTTTTCTAAAGGCGGGTTTAGACTATGCCTCATAAATGGACTCAATTTCTAAATCGATATATTAAAATCCCAGCTGTTTACATTAGTACTCATATCAGTCAGCTGATATTTTTTTACATATGCATAGACATTTCCGAAGGCGCGTTTCGACCATGCCTCCTAAATCGACAAGATTTCTAAATGGATATTTAAAATCCCAGCTGTTTAGACTGGTATTAAAATTATATAAAGAGAGTCAGCTGATATATGTTTACATATACATACACATTTCTGAAGGTGCGTTTAGACTATGCCTGCTAAATCGATTCGATTTCTAAATCAATATACTAAATCCAATCGGTTTAGATTAGTATTAAAATGATATTAATGATCAGTCAGCTGATATTTTTTTACGTATACAAACACATTTCTGAAGCCACGTTTAGACTATGCCTGCTAAATCGACTCGATTTCTAAATCGTTATACTAAATCTCAGCTGTTTAGGCTAATATTAAAATTATATAAAGAGAGTTAGCTGATATTTGTTTACGTATACATACATATTTCTAAAGGCGCATTTAAACTATGCCTCCTAAATCGACTAGATTTCTAAGTCGATATACTAATTCCCAGCTGGTTTGACTAATATTTAAATTATATTAGTCGAATGTCACACTAAAGTGGTTTTTTGAAACAAATTACATGAAATTAAAATGTTATTACGCCTACTTTCGACTTAACGACCAGTCAGCTGATATCTGTTTACGTCTACACACACTTCTAAAGGCTCGTTTATATTATGCTTATATACAAATCACAAATTTGTACACACAAAATTCCACTTAGCTTGTCCATATATTCATAATTCTAATAGGAATTCTTCTGTATCAAAATTTATTTTATTAATATTTGTATATTTTTTTTATTAGAAAATTATTTTAAATTTGAACATGCTTTTAATTTTAAATTAAATAAATGACATAAATAAGTGTATAAATTTTGGAACGCTTTTAGGAAACTTTTGCGTATTTTGTTGCAAAAACAGTGTTGTATTTAAAATGTTTTTCGATTAGGTTCAGAATTCCGTGCATATTGAGATGAGTGGATTTCATTTTGTATAGCAAATCGAGGTAAATTCCGATTAAGGAATTAAATTGAGATAATGCACATTATCACGAGAAAAGTTATAGTCTAAACGCGTTTTTATACTTAAGTAGCATGGTGACACATTAATTTCCTTTAAATATTTGATAAGCTTTAATTTTATTATGTGTTCGGATTAAATAAAAATTTTGGGCATTTTTTAAGCAATTAGGAATTTAAGCTATGGTAGATGATGAGTGAAAATGTGAGGAAAAATAAAAGTTTTATGTTTTTATTAATTAAAAAAAAGAAATCTCGAAATTATTGTGACTTGGTGAATGCATTGTTTTGGAAACATAGGTCTAAATTTTTTTGCTATTTTGAATTTTTTCCTTGGAAAAATTTTCTCCCCACAATTTTCCCAAGCTGTTTTACAATTTGTAAAATTGATATATACACATCCGCTGGCCTATATCTCCATATGTTTGACACTTGGCTATCTGTGTCTCTCTTTCTGTCATTGTAGACATTTTCAAATAACAAATCATTATATTTTTTAAAGAAAATATTTAATTAAACAACAGTTGTTGTTGTTAAGATTTGTTAAAATCAACACCCCACAAAACGAATATCAAATTATGATGATGGTCATAGAAACTGACAGGCGCGGTTTTTTTTATTTTTCAATATTGAGATTTCAAAGTAAGAAAATGTTGGGAGTATGCTAGCAACTGCATTTTAATTCCAATAAAATGGCTCCACTTCCTCTCCCTAAATAAAACATAAAAAAATAGATCATCTGATGCTATGGTGGGTTGGGAGAGGGGAAAGTTTTGTTTTTGTTATTGTAGATGCAGTTGTTTATTTTTGTCTTATTGTTGTTCTTTGTTATTGTCAGTGTTATTATGACAGTGAAGTGGCAATTAGGGAAGAGATTTCACCCCTCCCTTCACAATTTTGTTTTCGTTTTATTTTTGGGAGTGCAAGTGTTATTATTATTTTTTTGTTGTAGTTTTGATAATATTTTGTTTTGGTTTTTATTTTGGAATGCATCTTTGTTGTTAATTACCCTTCCCAATTTTACAAATGAAGTTTGTTTTTGTTTTCATTTTTAATTGTGGGGGATTTTTACAACAGCGGATGTTTGAATTGTTTTGAAAATAAATATTTTTTGTTTTTCGTTTGGTTATGAATGGGGTTTGTTGGGTGGTATCGCCAGTATTTTTTTTTTTGATTACAATATGTTAACATACTTATGTGTTTAGACAGATTTTTTTTTTGAAATAAGAAATCATATACAGAAGTATAAACAATTCAACACGTGATTGAAATTTGGGGCAAAATATGTGGGGATTTAGGGCACCTTGCTGGGGATGCCAATGGGAAATAATGGGTGAAAAGTCAAAATAAATAGGCGAAATATTGTGGATTTAAAAAAATTGTGGTATTTAAAAAGAGGATATTAAAAAAAAAACGTCATTACTTAGCCCCTGTCCACAATAAAGTAATTTCATGAAATAATTCATATGAATGTAGTTTAAAATCTACTAAGCACTGGTAATTAAACCCGGCCTTTTGTGTAATAAAATTTTATTTTCTAAATCGACTCGATTTGTAAATGAAATACTAAAACGGCATTCACATCAGAACTGTTTACCTGGTTAATTTACTTTATGAAGATTTATTTAACATCTATATGTAATGGATTTCACAATTAAAACCCACTGGGTTAACTTAATCCGGTACAATGTAAACGTACTATAAAGCGAATTGGCATTGTCGCAGACGGAATCTAACATCTACTAAGCACTGTTAACACTGCGCTATTTTTGAATCCCATCTGTTTGGATGGGATTCAATAAATACTATAAAGTAGTCAGTCAGCTGATATTTGTTTTTGTATAAAATAAGTACGTTCCACGAAAACAGCTGTCAAAAATTCTAGTTTCGCGTTAGCTGTGTTCTTTTCTGTGTACGAGTCCACTACATTTCCAAGTTAGGTCCAAAGACGGACAAATTGAATCAGACTTTAAGCGCTTAAATTGTCTCGATTTTTAAATCCCAGATGTTTAGAATAAAGCGGTGTACACACTTGCACTTTTGAATGACACTTTTGCCCAATTTTTTCTTGTTTGATAGTGTGGCCTCTCAAGGTCGTCATTCATCAGGCAACCACAAAAAAATCGTCGTTGTTGGACATTTAGTAATCGATATAAGATTTGACAGTAAAAAATTATAGTATGTACTCGCCCTAATATTAAATGTTATCAGTCTGCTGAAATTTGTTTTCGTTTACTACACAAACTAAGAGAAGTAAATGCGTTCCACGAAAACAGCTGTCAGATATACTAGGCACATGTAAGCTGTATTTCCTTCTGTGCAAGAGTCTTCTAGTTTTCCATGTTTGACCAAGTATCCTTTATTTTTATTAAATATCAACATTAAATACGAAAACATACTTTAAGCGCGTTTAGACGATGCCTTCTAAAACTAACTAAATCCTAGATGTTTAAAATGCTATAAATTTGTCAGTCAGCTGATATTTGTTTACGTATACACACACACTAAAAAGTGTAAATGTCAAAATTTGAAATTGTAAATATTCTCCTTCATGATAATACATTTAGACGTTTTACTAGAAAAATGTATCCGGAAATCTGACAAACTCGTTAAAAAAATGTAAATATTACTCTGGTTCAATTTATTAATGTAAATTTGCAACTTTCCGTAAACCTCACAAGATTACTAGCATTCAGTTAATAACATAAATCGAAATTGCATATTCGTATCTTGTCTTTTATCTAAATTCACTACTTTAGTCACTTTTTTGATTAACTGCTCCTTGGAGAATTCCAAAACCACTAGTAGCAATTTAAATTACTTGCATGTCCTGGTATTTAACAAATGGAATGCTTTGAAGGGCAACGAAGTGAATTTCATTACATAACCGCATATTAGGTGTGTCTGTTTACTCGATTGTTAATGTTTGTAATTTATGTTTAAGTTTTTAAAAAAACTAGATTTCGGGTTCCCAAATGAAATTTTTGTATACGCTGTGAAATTGACATTTGAGATCGATTGGATTTCGTAAATCAAACGCACGTCCAACTGTCATTAAAAGCCGATCGTGTATATACCACTTAAATGTTACTGTAATAGGGATACATAAGTCGATTACCGACTAATAGACTATTTACATTAAAAAAGTCGTTTTTTGGGTATGAAACATTG